CAAAAACCGAATTGGTTCACGCTCATCACGCTCTGACGAAGAGGTCATTGCGTTTGATGCCGATATCGATAACATCGATATCGAAGAAGATGATGCCAGTGAGAGTGCGGAAGCCCTCACTGAAGACAATGATCCCAGTGAGAGTGCGGAAGCCCTCACTGGAGAAAAGGTTGTTGTTGCTGCAGTGCGCTCACAGCACACTGAAGCTAACGAGTCATCAGATGAGTTCATACTGGCTCGTGAAACGGTAGTCCGTTTTGTGCAAGACTCCATCGCCGAAGCGGTGGACAAGCAAAAGCAAAACGCTGACAAGAATGGAAGGGCAAACACTCTTTTATTTAATAAAGGTGACTTAGTCCTACTGTCTACGGTTAATCTACCAAAGCATGTAGTGACTAACTTGGGTAGCAGTAAACTACTACCCAAGTACATCGGCCCATTTCGTGTATTGCACCGCCTAGGCAATGCATACACGATCGAGTTACCACGTAAGATGCGAACGCATCCCACGTTTTACGTTGGTCGGCTTAAGCCGTACCATCAGTACGCTGCTTCTTCCGATAAAGAACGCCCTTGCGCTCAAGCATCTCGCAGAGAGCCTTGTGCTCCCGATGGTGGGCATCGACAAGGGTCTGAAGAGCAGTTATCTCAGCCCGAGACCGATCAACAATCCCACGAGCTACCCTTAGCTCGTCACGAAGAGATGTCAGAGCTCTCTCGTTCTCAAGCTGAGCAAAGGCAAACTAAGCTCGATGCTTCGAGGCAGTGTCCACCATTTGGAGACGCCTATTCCGCTAATGTTCGAGATCGTCGCGTAACCCTTGCGTTACGCGATCAAAGAAGCTCTCGGGAACACACCGGTCCCCATGATCGTGTGGAGAGCGTCTTTCCTCCTCCTCCACCTCCATTAGAGGACTCTCGCGGTGGCCAGCGCTATCTAGTTGAGCAGCTGTTGAACCACCGCGACGTGAACGGACGTCGGACGAGTTATCTCGTCCGGTGGCGCGGCTATCCCCCGTCCTGGGATTCTTGGGAGCCCCGCTCCCAATTGATGGTTGACGTACTGGGTCTGGTTGAGCAGTACGACGTGGCACATCCTGTGCCGCAGAAGGACCGCCGGAGAAAGTCTTCCCGGCACGGTCGTAAAGGGATTTCAGGTTGTCAATCCCTTCGTACATCTCAGTAGAGACACGTACGCGCCACCACGGGCTGTTAGGGAGGTAAGCCTCCTTAGGTGCTCGTGCAGAGTTGTTCACACAACATGGGCACGAGTCTCCCCAAGAGAGGCAGGGTAATCCTTTCTCCCTTGACAGACGATGCAGCTTGTAGCGTGCACCTGTCGGGGTTCGCTTTTCAAACTTATCACGAGCTTTGATAAGTTTGTCGTTCCAAGCGTCACGACCTACATCCTCAAGGTTATGGATGTAGGCGTTCCACGCTTGAAGTAGTGAGGGACCATCACGCTTGTGATTCCCACTGTACCATCGATGTCTGAAGAAAGCATCGATGAAGAATTCATGTTCAGCGCGATAGTTTTTCGCGCTGGGGTCAAGGTGATGGATCCTTGACGAATCGAACAATCGTGTTCGATAACGATCACTCGTCGTCGCCGACAAGTGATCCATGACTGATTTAGGAGGCATCCATGCCTTCTTCTCGGGAGCGAGACGCAAGACATTGCAGTCCCGCTCTTCCTGCGACGTACCGACAGAAGGACTGGCACCTCGCTGTGAAGTGGTGTCCATAGGAGAACCGACACCACTATTAGCGCCCGAGTCTCGCGACCTCGAGCGCCTTCGCTTTGGTGATGGTTCATCTGATGAATCAGATGAACCAAAGATGCTACGACGCATAGCATCATGCATGCCACGCTTGGCAGGCGGCTTGGATTCGATCGCCGTCGATACGGATCCGTCTTCCGTATCAGGAGAGTACGAGACACCGAGCTCGTACTCTGTGAAGACACGAGTGTCTTCATGACCAGCGCCTGCATCACCAAGTGACACAGGCTGAGTCGCTTCAGCAACCGATGAGACTTCAGTTGCTGTGGTTTCTGCTTCGGCGTCCGCACAGAGACGTGCGGACGCGCTCTCGGCGGCCTTGCTCGCGCATCGCATAGGCTTGTTAACCATGCGATGAAATGTTGGAAAGTGGACTCGGACCAGCAAGTGCAAACCCTGTCCCAACTGATTTGGGACGAGTATCCATTTAGTCAATTAGTCACTAAAGTGACTGATGGTTGGGGGGGTGATGTAACGGGGTGAATCGTTCATAACAATTTATAAGAAATTGTTAATAGAATGTAACTATAAGAATTATATTCTCAGAATATTGTCATAAGGACAATATTCTGCAGCACTTACGAGTAGTTCCTAATTGGTTGATATAGGCCATTGTATCAACCAACGAAGACGCGCCACGACAGACGCACGCAATGAGTGGCGAGCAGAAAGTTAACATGCACATTTGTAATCAGACATAGTTAGATGAGGATAAATAGTGTTTTATTAACAGACATTAACTATGATAAATACAGTTCTACTTTTTACTTTAACCAAGTACTCGCTTCTTCTTACCGTCTTCCTCTGCACGTACGAGTGTACATGAAGTTCCGAGGCACCGCCTTATTCTGTCATCAGAATAAGTAGCTTGTACTGTCACCAGTACAAGCTTCAGGGTGCCCCGTTACAGGGACGGGCAAACAATTCGGCGTGAGCTGGTCCGGCGTTGGCGCTCTTTTCAAACCTTTGGTACGTTAACGGCACCTCGATCACATTTAAGGTAGACATGCTTTCCTGCAATCGAACTTTTAATCGTGACCGCATAGCCTTGGCCACGTGCCAACGTCTGCACAGTATCCATAAGTTGCTCCCGACTGGCATACTCAACCTCGGGAGGAGAAAGCATGTTATTGCGTGGTGCCCTATCAGTAAACGATGGAGGAGAAAGACTACATTGTGACTACACTGTGAGTAGTATCTTAGGTATTTCTTATGTATTACTTGCCAATTAATGGCCTAGATTATCTAGTAATCCCTTTGTCCGAAAACAAACCTTTAAATGAATGGGGATTTTATATATAAGATTTGAAGGAAGGGTGTGAATTTAAATAAAAGGGGTGTGAATTCAGCAATTCCCTAATTTTAAACCTTTGTGGTGCTGTGCTGTGCTTTTCTCTACGCTAATACGCGCTCGATAGGTTTGTGTCGACCAGCGAGCCCATTCTCTGGTTCAGGTTTCGCTGACGTCTTTCTTAGAGGTCTGCGACGAAGGCACTCTCCAGGGCACATGATCCGTGGTCCCCATGTAGTTTCGGCAAGCTGGTTTCATTCTATGCCTTCTTTTTGTTTCTTTACAGACTGATGTATCATATCAGCCGCGTTGCAACCTGATACACAAACTACCCTGATACCGTTATCAGACTTGATATGTACCAAGGCACCCTTCGTTTGGGGTGCCACGAAACATCACGTACACTAGTTCGTGCAGAGGAAGCTAATCTACTTAACAACTATGTTGAGTAAAGGTAAGAAGAGGAATGTATTAATACAGCTAAGCTATCAACACAACTTCAGTCTTTATCTAACTATATGAAACTACGTCGTCAGATGACCACAACCTGCTCACCACTATTGCGCGTGTGTAGCAGCGATTGGTGATAATTCATGGTTGACATGTCTTTATTAACCAACCTTTGAGCAGCACATGAATATCATCCCACAAGAGGATAGTATTCCTTCAATATTGTCCACTTTGGATAATATTGGCAAGCAATTTTCACGCTAGACAATCTTCATATTGACACCGTTTGGTGTCAATTTCATGTAGCGGCCTACCCCGTTACATCACTCTCCCCTTAATCATCAATCACCCGTTGATTGAATAAGAAGACTGGGACAGGCTGATCACCGTTAGATCACTATGGGAAGTGGAGCACTTGTTGGTCAAATTTCAACTCATTTTCCAATTTATCGCATGGTTTCAAAGTCCATAATATGTGCTGTTAGAGCAGCCAGCAAGGCGGTTGCACGCATACGTGCGGCCGAAAAGAATACTTCTCATGCTTCAGCAGCAGGGGATCCTTCTCCAGCTGTTGCAATTCAGCAACAAGCAGTGCCTGTTGTGAATAGTCCATGTGGTGAGTCATTACGTGCGGCAGGTACATCCGCTGCGTCGGCAGCGGGTGCTACGACTCGCAATGTAGATGAGACTGAAATAGAGCTCATCTATTCTGGCGAGTCGGATGATGCATCTGACTCGAAGACGACACCTCACGCATCCGGATCATCCAAGGCGGACACTGCAAGAGCCAGGTTGACTGGCTTTGGGAAACGTGGCGGCATCATATCCGAGATCTTTAGACCGAGAGATTCTCATGACGAATCCTCGCCTCACGCAAGTCCGTCCGACGCTAAGACGCTTGGTGATGGTGATGATGCCCTTTGTATCACCAGGACCGAAGTAATTCGAGGAATCAAAGTAACACTGGTGCCAGTGCTCATGCTGACACCAATCAAGAGGTCAGGGACCGAAATGTCCTGCGTCACGCTCCTTAAGTGGAGTCTCCTAAGATGCCGTCAGCGAAAGAGTTAGATTGAGTGACCGACATGACCACCGAACGACACCGAATCCCGTTGTTCGACTGTAGGAGGATCTGTCCTCCTATTTCCATCACGAAAAGTATCCGCGCTGAGGAAGAGTTCTTCACCGATGTGTTCTTCAAACATCGGTGGTACAATGGCAACCGTGGTCAAGACGGTAAAGATTAGTGCAAGGATGAAATGTCTTCATCCACAACATCGAGTGTATTGGCCGTGAGGCCTGGCTCGGTAAACTTGATGCAGATCGCATCAGGTTCGAAAAGCGTAACCCAGTTGGAGCGCAATTAAAGTTGCACCGGCTTTCAAGAGAGGCGGGATTACTCTGTCTCTCGTGGGGTGATTCGTGTGCAGGTTGCCTGGACAATTCTAACCGTGCCCCTAGGGAGGCCTACCTCCCTTATGATCCTTACTGGAGGGCGCGCATCTCTTCCGAGATGGCCGAAGGGATCGACACTTTGCAATCCCTTTACTCGCGTTCGGGGAGGTCGTTTTCCGACGGCCCTTTTTCAAGCGCAGAGGGTGGGTCTCGTCGTACTTCTCGACGAGATCAAGGACATCAACAATCAGCTGGGCACGAAACTCCCAGCTGTCCCACACCGGTGGATAGCCACACCACAGGACGAGGTATCTTGTCCGGACGCCATTCACGTTGCGGTGGTTCAAAATACGCTCCCGAGGAAGCGTTGACCACCGCCAGAATCCACCAAAAGATGTGGTGGCGGCGGGAACACCTGATCCGGCTCGAGGGTTGGATCAGCTTGATGTTCAGGAGCTAAACCGTGTAACGGAACAGTTGCACGATGACCTGGATCACGAACGGACTCGGCGTGATGAGCTTAATGCTCTTGTAAAGGATAACTACAATTACCTAACGCACGATCGTTCGGACGATCGTGCCGCTTTTGCTTTCGCGCAACTTGAGAACGAACGTTCGACTCGTTCTCTCCGTGATGAGCTGGCTGCTGCTCGTCGTGACATCGCTGAACTGCGTGAACAGGTCGCTTCGCTAGTCGACCAGACTGGCTCGTTGAAACGGGACCACTCGAAGTTGGTCTCGGCTCTTGACCGCGGAGGCGTTCTTCGCATCTCAAAACGGGCTCGTACTGATAGTACAGGCGGAGACGTCCAGCGTAAGACGTAGGTGCGTACGAATCCTACGAGGCAGTTCAATCGTGTATGCGTTGCCCATGCGGCGCAACACACGAAATGAACCGATATACTTGGGCAGTAATTTACTGCTACCCCCGTTTGTCACTGCGTGTTTCGGTAGATTAACTGTAGATAGTAAACCTAGGTTCCCTTCATCAAATGAAAGAACATTTGCTCTTGCATCTTTGTCTGCGTTTCTTTTCTGCTTGTCTAGTGCATCTGCAATAGAGTAGTGAACGAAGCGGACAACTGCTTCGCGAGTCAGCAGAAATTGCTCTGCTGATTCATCCTTGTCAACAGAAGTGCGCTTCCTGTACACTGCTGAAAGAACGTTGTTTTCACCAGTGAGGGTGTCATCGTCCTCACTTTGGCAGTCAATGGAGATGCTGAATATTCCAGCATCGTCGTCATCATCATCGATGTCGATCGCATCGACATCGCCATCCATCACGTCGACAACATTGTAGACGGGTGATGAACAAGAACCAGATCGTTTTTTGTTCGTGAGTCCCCCCCTAAACTAGAGTCACACTCTAAGAAGGCGGGTAAACGTGGATGGTGTAGGCCATTCACGAAGAACGGTGTATGCGTTGTCGATGCGTGCATCGAGTTGTTGATGGCGAATTCTGCCATCGGCAAGAACTCACTCCAGCTCATAAACGAGTGGACATACCCTAGAAATATCTCTTCGAAGACGCTGTTGACGCGTTCCGTCTGACCATCTGTTTCTGAATGGTCAGAAGTCGACATCGTCAAACGTGTTCTAAGTGAACGGAACACGGATTGCCAGAACTCCGCTGTGAAGCGAGGGTCTCTATCGGACACTAGTTCACGGGGTAACCCGTGAAGTAGGAAGATAGTGTCGATGAAGACACGCGCACAGCCCGGGACTGTGATTGACTCCCGTACAGCAACAATATGTACACCATCTTGCTGAATCGATCAACAAACACAAGGATACCAGCATTCTTGTGAACGTTTTTGAGAAACCCGAAGACGAAGTACATCGATACGGACTGCCAACACTCTGCCAGAATCGGAAGAGGCTGTAAGGGTGCGCGGGATGAAGGACTAGGCTTCACTCGTTGACAAACTTCGCAAGCGCGAATGAATTTCCGCACAAACTCATACTGAAGGGGCCAGTAGAAGTCACGACTCACCATGAGATAAGTCATTTTTCTACCGCGATGCCCACTGGTTGGGGCATCATGACACTCATACATGATGCGCAATCGCACATCATGATGAGCCGGAACGACGGCACGAGGTGTGTCGCCGTTGACTGCAGTATAGTACAGCAGTCCATCATGGACAGAATATCGTTCGGTTGAAGAGCGGTATTGAGACGACAAGCTTTTCACAGCTCGACTGCATGGATTGGAGACGTAATCCATCAATCCGCAGAAGAGACTCATCTTCTACGTATGCGTTTCGCACGTCATCGAGCAGATTCAACGACGGAACACTTACTGATAGTGTTGCAAAGTGGGATCACTTGTACTGTTGGGTTGAGCAGTCGGCTTAAAATCGGGCTGACGCGAAAGAGCATCAGCTACGACATTAAGTCGTCCTGGTTTGTACGCGACCGTAAAGTTGTATTGTGCAAAGAATGACAGACATCTCGCCATTCGTTGCAAGAGGTGTGGACTGTTTACAGCCGTGCGTAACGACGCATGGTCGGTATAAACGATGAAGGGCCTATCTCCTAAGAGATATAACCGAAACTTGGCCAGTGCATATTTCATGGCAAGGAGTTCCTTGTCATGCACCGGATAATTTCGCTCAGCTGCTTGCAGCTGACGCGATTGATAACAAACGACGTGCTCAACGCCGTCTTAGTCCTACTGCAGTAACGCGCAGCCGATTGCAAAATCGCTGGCGTCACAGACCACATGAAATGATCTGTCTTGGTCCGCAATTGCCAACACAGGCGATTGCACCAAGCTTTTCTTGATACCTTTGAAGGAGTGCTGCCACTCAGCGCTCCATGACCACCTCTCGTTTTTCTTTAGTAGACCAGAGAGATGTACAGTCATCTCGGCGTAGTTGCACGAGTATTTGTGCGAGTACGCCGCCAAGCCAAGGAACTTTCGAAGTCCCTCGATGTCGACTGGCACAGGCCAGTCGCTAATTGCCTTGATCTTTTCCGGATCAGGGCGTACGCCTTTTTACCCACGTTGCAGCCAAGAAGTGGTATCTCGTTCGCTGCGAAGATACGCTTCTTGAGGTTCGCAAACAACTTGTGCTCTCGCATTAGAGTAAGAACCTTCCGGACGTGGATTCTATGAACCTACACGTCCGTCTTTTCATCCATATCCCGGCTATGGACGAAACATCGTCGAAGTAACTCGGTGCGAAGTCGCGCACCAATCGCAACATATTCGTAACACATCTGTTAAACGTTGCGGGGGCGTTACTTAGCCCCTGTGGCATCACTAGCCACTCCCAGAGCATACCACTGGGGGTGCTCACTGCTGTGTAAGGGATATCCCGTTCACGCATGATGATCTGATAGAATCCATCCATCAAATCCATGGATGAAAAGATGGTACTCTTTGCCATACCATCTATGATGACATCCTTTCTTGGGATTGGCGTTTGAGCCGGTACCGTTGCAGCGTTCAATTTGCTGAACGCGTGCACTGTCCACCACCCTCCTGTGGCCTTTCGCACACAGAATGTCGGAGAGCTGTGTGATGGGATGTTAATTCCCTCACATGACCAGCCGCTAATCGATCGGCAAAGAATTTGTCGATCGCTGTGAACTGTTCACGAGGCGGTGGACACTGCTTCATGACACAGTATCTCGAACCAGGTTTCAGTTCTATTTCATGCCGAGAGCCTTTGTCCTTGGTCAGCTCGCATGGCACGGATTCCGGGAAAACATCCATGAATTCCACCAAATCCTTATGCAAAGGATTTGTCTTTAAAGACTCCCAAGATCGAGACGTGGATCGCTCAATCCGGGTCTACTCATCAACAACACTCTCGTCCATAGATGAGCTACTGAGAACCCGTTCTTCTCAGCAAAAACTTATGCCGACCGAATATCGGCGACGTACTCGTCCTCTGTGACGAGTACGCAGATCTGCTTGATCTTGTCACTACGCAGATCTCGCAAGAATCTTTTAGATTCTAGCGTTGGCAGCTTGACCACCTCCGAATCTGACTTCGGGGGCGTCACCAGATCAAGTGTATAAGCGCCTACACTTGATCCGTCATTCACCAAGACATTAACTGACTCGGTGATTTCCTGGGAAAACACATCCGCAGGTGGTTGGGGATCCACACCCTCAACATAATTCTCTCAGGAGTTATTGCTCTCAGGAACGCCGATATTATCTTCTGTTGCGTGTACTATCACGGTCGCGTCCTCTTCGATCGATTCTCTACCATTAGAGCGGGCTTGCTCTACGATCGACTCTCTGATATTCAATCTCGCTTCAACGTGTTTTCCATCCTGAACAACACTACTCTCTCTTCTCGGATGCACCCTTCTTGGTGTGCATCCGTGCTCCAGTCCACTCGATCTCTTCGAGTGGTGAGCCTTCGACGCAGCCTGTGTCTCTACACAGGTGACGGAAGCTGGTTCCACAGTGCAGTGGCCTTCTACACTGTGATCTTGTGCAATCGTACTAACGACCGTACCACAAGTTAGGCCATCGCACTCACTCGTAGTACATCCACACGCTTGTGGACGCTCCAAGACGTTCATCAGATGGCCATCCGATGAACAAACGGCAGGCGTCTTCACGGATCGATGCAGCCAGCTAACCCATGGCCGGTACTTTCTAAGCCATGGCAGACCAAGGATGACATCAAATCTGTCATCCAAATCTGATACGATAAAGTCATCATCGTATTGTTTTCTTTCTAACGTGTAGTGGATTCCCACTACACGTTTGTTCACTGTTACGGATACGCCTGTAGCAAGGCACACCGTCATCCTCGTTGGAGGGAACTCTCGCTCAACATAGTTGAGACTACTATCCCTTAGCGACTGGCGTCGAATAAAACTGCTAGGGCGCGAAGTGACATTCCACTTGTCACTTCGATCTTCAAAGTGATGAGAGACTCCTCATCACTAAGGGCAGTAACACACAGAGACTGCATGTTGGGAGCAATCTTCGTCAAGAGTCCTGCAAATTCTCTTGACGTTGCTGGGCCAGCAGGGTGCTCCGCCCCTACTGACCCTGACCGTTTTTTGACGGTCCGACTTGCTGTCGCGGCTTAGCGACATGGTCGGACCCACGCCTCGGACCTTTCCTTGGCCAACGGCAGTCATCACGTCCTGTCTTGTACGTGTTGCAGTGCTCGGGACACTACACTCATGAGCGGAGTGTCCAATCTTCTGACAGCGATGGCATCTTGCCGTTCGTTTGTGACTCAGATAGCGAGAGTTCTCGCTCTCAATGAAACAGAGGTCCATTGGTTCGGGACCTCCTGCTTCCTGGCCCTCGTCGGACGATAGTTTGACAAGTTAGCCTGAGACGTCTCAGGCTGAAGTCTTCTTGATCCGCATACGATATCGCCTTTTCCAGCGTATGGAAGTCCTATCAGAACATGTAGGTCTTTACCGGTCCATCCACAAGACCGTAGATGAACACGTTGATAAGCGTGTGCTCACCATCTGGTTATTCCGTGACGCTACTCGCAAGGTAGCGCAGGTGCTGTGCGTAAGCGTGCACGTCACGCTTACCTTGCTTTAGCCTCAAGAGTGCAGAGCGTGCTCTGCACTCGGCTCGTCGGCGGCTCAAACGTCTCTTTATGCCGAGCCTTCAAGGTCTCCAGCGACTCAAACACGTTTGGGTCGTGCAGATTGAGCCCTAAGGCCCAAGTCTTTGCTCGTCCCGTCAAATTTGACAGGGCGAAGGTGACTTGCACCTCGTCACCCTCGATCTGACGGGCCCTGATGGCATTGTCTAACTCGACGAACCATCTTAAAAGGGAATCCTCATCGGTTCCCTTCTACCTTGAGATATCAATCTTCAA